TACCTTCTCATTTCTTCGGATCCTATCATTAGTGCGAATAGATTATAAAAAGATAAAATAATAAAAGAATTGTCAATCGAAGCAAAAAATTTAATCAAGTGAACTAATCCAAATTGTAGGTAAATAATCTTATTACCAATTATACATAATTCTAAGATTAGCTAATACGAGTATTACTCTTTGTATTTACGTTCATGAAACAGTCGAATTAGTGTGTGTGCCTTAGAACATATACTACTGGAAGGAGCATAGGTCTATAATCTCTGTACATTCGAGTTGACGCAGAGAAGATTGACAAGGATGGAGATACAATGCGCAGAAGATTGACAAGGATGAATATACAGGATGTCCCATTTTAAATTACGCACCTGAATATCTCGTCAGGGGAGCCACCAATCCGAAAATAACCCTTACAAAAGTTGTTGGGTTCGGAGGGGGACATCCAATGATGACATTGGTTTAACCTAGGGTGTACATGCCAAGGTCATATAGAGGTCAACTTTGTTTTTTTAAATGGAACACCCTATTTTTGATTCCAAAATCTAATAGCTGGTGTCAAGGGCTTTTCAAAACACTAAAATGAAGTTATTTTTCATTAAGTACTTTTCGAGTGTATGAGGCTTGAAAGTTACAGCATTTTGACATAAAATACAAAATATTTTGTAAAACATTCAATTTTCGGGAATCTTATCTTAATACTTTTATGCATAAAATAATGAGAGCATTAGTTGAGTGCGTTCTGATTGGTTGCGTGCTGACGACGCTGACCAATAAGACATGCGTGACATTTTAGCGTTATGGCCGGAGCACAGACTTTTGCATAAAGCATAACGCATAAGCATAAGGAAATTGATTGGTCCATTTCCTTATGCATTTGCTTATGCTTATATATAGACCAATCAATTTCCTTATGCATATGCGTTATGCTTTATGTAAAAGCTTGTGCTCTCGGCTTTACATTTTAGCGTGACATCCGAGAAAAATGATGATTTTTTAGATTTCTCGACTTTGGATGCATATATCTTAATTTATAAAGCACACAGAGCAAAAACAAGCATACTTTCCTTATATATCTTTGGTATGCGCTTTCGATTGAGCCTATTACCAACTCAATCGGCCCAGCCGTTATTGAGATCCGATAATCTCGGCTCATCTGACCTTCCGTCTCGCGTAAAAGATACACGGTCGGTCTTGCGCTACGCGTGAACTTGGCGCGAGACACTACCGTGTCTCTTGATTCGTCCCTGCGGATAGAGGAGAAGAAGGAGACGACGTTTCTTAATTAAATATGAAAAACATCACTTTTTGACCGCTTGTATCTCCGGAACGGTTGGACCGATTTTAATTTTTTTCGGCTTAAATTTCTCGTGGCGATGCCACCTTTCAGGATATACTATGTGTTTTTATAAAATTTTCTATATTTTAGTTGCTATAAACCCCCGAAAAGTCGACTTTGTGCGCGCAGGATAAGAGACTTAGTAGTGTCATTTTCTGAACTTTGCCAGAGACTCTTTTCCTGACTTAGTAGTGTCGTTTTTGAACTTGGCCGGAGACACTACCGCGTCTCCTGACACATAAGATAATACATAAGATAATATATTTTACCTTATTTATAGATTTTAGATCAACTATGTTGTGTTTTCTGAATGCATCCAAAGACTGACTGTGAGTATCTCGTCAGTGCTTACATATACATATATCAGTTACTGATGCGATACATATCGTTTCACAGATAATGATACGTATCAGATAGTAGTACAATTATGTATTATTTATATACTATTTTGATAATATATGAGATATATTAGACAGAAGCGTTTTTACGTATCATATACATAAATAAGTTACATATTAATGATACTTTATTGATACTTTCCGGTTATATAACAGGAAATATCAGTAACATGTGCGTTTGCTGGGTATATTTGAACGAGATCGCTGCCTGTACATACATAGAATATACCTCGTGTACATTCCATGTGTATATAATACATGTAACGTACATACATACAATATACGCTGATGTAAGTACATTTATGGATATACATAGGATATCGTATGGATATACATAGAATCAGTCATTAGTTCGTTCGCTTGCCGCTATGTGACGCATTATACGCAATCTATCTCGTATTTAAGTTTTAATCATGAAAACTATATAAAACTTGCAAAAGGCGGGTAATAATATTGAAGTCTTCAATTTGAAGATAAAATAACTTTTTCAGTTTAATATCTGAATCCCATCACAGAGAATTTAGATAAACTGATTGTTCAAAAATTGGGTAGATAAATATCCGAATGAATAAAAATTGTTTATTATTAAAAAACGTACTGTATATACTATGTACATACATAGAATGTACCTCACGTACATGCTACGAATGTGTATTGCACATCCTCGGAATATATCCTATGTACATATTGCGAACGTGCACTGCATATCCTCGGAATACACCCCATGTATATACCATGAATGTACACTGCATATCTTTGGAATATACCTATGTATGTACTATGGACATCCTATGTACATACATGTGGTAATTATTTTACATAGGATATGCGCTTTATATACTTTTCACATTCTTTGTATATACATAAAATATACAATATACATATATGTATATACATAGGACGTACATAGAATGTCCTAATGTTTATTGAGTATGGTGGATATCAAAATAATAAACGGTTATAAGTTTTGTGAAAATTCGTATTTAAGAATTGTCGAAGTTGCTGAATATGAATCTGATATCAAATTGGATCAATTATTATTATTGTTACTATTATTATTATTTTGATATTTACCATGTCGAATCCGCCTATACGATTATCTCTCGTATACGATTATCGTCTGACTCTCATTTTCGTATCACGTTTTATTTATTTATTTATTACTTTTCTATTATGAATAACTTCAGAATGTTAGACACGTTTATTCATCACAGAGTTGACTCAATTTTTCTATTTCTTAACTGACATTCTCGCAGGGTGTCCGCCCAGTCGTCTTCCTGTACATATCTTCATGTATATGCATCTTTTTGTTTAAAAAAAAAATAAAACAAAAGGAAAGGGAAAAAGATGTGGAATCATTGCAAGACGCTTCACAAGTCAAAGCACATTAGTTCGAGAATTCAAACATACTCGACCGTTGAAGTGGATAGGTGCGTTAATTATCTGGACCGGTACACAGCGTCATGCGAAAATTTTTTTATATATCTAGGACAACACAAGTAAGATTAGTTTTTTTAAAGAATTCTGACATTTCCAACGGTCGAATTTCGTAAACAAAATGCGATAACCTTGCGGCGTATACGTATTTTCATTAATTTTATGTAACTTTTTTTTTGTTAATTATCGTTCACTGAAGATGGCCAAATAAAATGAGCCAAAACGTATGAATTAACTAATTGTTAACTTTTCTTTATTGAACAACCAACACCCAGTTCTGGGCTAAAAATGCTATTTTTTAATATGTAATTTGTTAATTAAAAAAACCCAAATAGATAATTTCTTTAATTTAATAATAAATGATTTTTATAAATTATTTATTATAAATTTTTTATAAATAATTTATTAATAGGATTTATTAACACATTACTAATATTTAAATTAAAATCAAAGGAAAGAAAAGAACAAAAAAAAGTTTTTCTTTAACATCATTTGCAGAAAATTTTCTCGATTCTGGAGCATCAAGAGGAATGCATAATGCGCTGATAGATGTACAAGTTCTTGACGGTTTTAATGTTCGTAGCACAAAATTTATTTTAATATCCCGAAAAAATAATAATAAATTTAAAATAAATAAGAAATTATTGGAAATTTTATTAAATTTACAAAAGATGAAAATGAAAAAAACATAATAACCGAAGGAGTTTCCCAATTCACGTTTTAAAAAATGGCAGAGATGGGTATAAACTTTCAACACATTGAAACAACACTGCAAGTGAACACTCCAAGAGGCACAACATCCAAATATCGTCAATGCTTTAGTTAAATTAAAGAAATTAAACGATATAAGTTGATATAATAATTTATTTATTAATTTTATTATTAATGAGATTGTTCTAATAAAATTATTTTTATCATAAAAATTGAAATATTTTTTACTTTAATGGATTTGAATTTTATTTCAAAGGCAAACTAGATGCAAACTGCAACGTTGCCAAATGTATCTTAACCTTTCACATCGATCAATATAGCTACTATACTGATTTATGTCGGACAATATTTAAACTTAATTTTTTTATTATTTACTCTCGCATTTCACTGGTAAGATCGGAACTTATAATCAGTTAAATAATTTTTAGGATTTAATTTTTTTCTCTATTGATTCTGTTTTGAACATTAATACATAAAAAAATTAAAACGTATGAAAAGTTTGACCTTAATGTCAATGAAAAATATTCTAAAAATTTTTAATTAAAAAAATTTATTTTCGACGATTAAATTAAGTCGTAAATTATTTTCAAAACGGGATTAATTACAAAATCCCGTGAATTTGTATAAAATATTGTGAATATTATATAAAAATTTAATAAACACATATAAATAAACAAACCTTCTAAGAATACGTTTATTAAATGTACATGGTGTCCAAAAATTACGTGTAATTCGTGAAACTTATTTTGTTTATAACTTTTTAATAAACAATGAGCTATAATCTTTGTTTTACTATGGCAATAATCTTTTTTATTATTCAGGACTATAGTTTTAATAATATATGTTAAAATTAAGACGATCGAATCTGACTGTGTAATTTTAAACATTTATCAATAATTTTTATAACATAAGCATTAATTTACTAATAGCGCTTTTTAGTCAGAATAGTTTTTTGCAAGATATTATTTTCAGATAAGATAATGCAAAAATTACGATTTGCCGTTTAATTTTTCTAAAATTTGTACAAAAGCTATCTAAAGCCAATACAAAGCGATTTAATTATTTAAAATAGGGACACGATATAACTGTAATTAATATTTTGCACAATAATGTGACAGGCGGTCGAGCAATCCTTGACCTTGGAGTGCAAGTGTCATGGGGTGTCAGGATCCTGTAGCGTGCGTACTTGCTGGCGCGGTCTGAGTGCGTCAGGACCATCTGCCGCCGGAAGTCGTTTGCTTCGCAGATACGCCACTGCGGCCGAGGTCAGACCGAGATCTGGCGGCAGACTACCACCTCTGTATCATCACGATAATTTGCTGTACACTACCAAGAGCCCGGATTACTGTCTTCCGGATAAGAAGAAGGGCAGCCTCGGCACAATCGGCAGGTTAGACGTAATTGTAAATCTCACTCAATGTATAAATATTAATTTTTCAGTGTTATAAAAATTGGAGAATATGTTACATATAAACATGCAATAATAACTATATAGCAATTGTCATATAATTATTCAAAAAAATTTTTTTTTAGAGTAGACTTAAAGATAGAGATATAGCAAAAAATTTATAAATGATAAGGTCTGGCCAAGTTCCAAAAAAGACACTCCAATATGTTTATATTTTAATAATTATCTAAATTTTTTATATATTACCAACATAAAAAGTAACTGATACATTATTCAAGGTGCAAATTCAAAATAAACATACATAAAATATACATAAAATGTATAAATAAAACTGATCCAAATTTGATTTTAAAAAATTTAATTAGAATAACAAAATATTTATTAAAAAATACAAAAAAACTTGCCACTGCCAACGGGCTTCGCCCTTCCCCTTTGAGCCCCCTCCCCCAGCACAGCCCTTTGCATCATTCCCTCTTTTCCCCTCGTCGAGGGACCCCTCCGCCCCTCTTTACACCTCAAAGTGTTATGAAACAATGAAAATGAGTAATAATGTAATAACCCAGTAAACATTCGATATCCTATGTATATACATGAAATATCCGTAATGTGAAAAAAAATGTACTGTATATACTATATACATACATATAATACGCTGATGTAGATATTTGTGGATATACATAAGACATCTTATAGATATATAAAGAACGTATATTCGAACGAGATCGCTGCCTGTATATACATAGAATATACCTCGTGTACATTCCATGTATATACATGTAACGTACAGGGTGTTTTTGTAACATACAGATCAGTAAGTTGGGTTGCCTAT